TGCTGACTCTGCTGACTCCACTACCTCCACTACTACCACCACTACCATTATTGTTACCGATAACCTCGACGACGACACTGACCCTCTTCTCCTTGACCATCCTCATTTCAGCGCCAACATCACCTCCACCGACAAGTACAACAAGCTGCCTGCTACCGTCAAGGAAGCCATGCACAGTCCTGATGCTGACAGCTGGACCCGTGCCCTTGAGAAGGAGGCTGATTCCTTTCACGAGCACAACGTCATCCAAGGACTAGATCACCTTCCAGCTCACATCAAGCCCCTCGACCTTCGGGTTGTCTTTGCTCGCAAGCATGACGGCACCTTCAAGGCACGCATTGTGGCCAAAGGTTTCAAGCAGCTCTATGGCATCGACTACAATGAAACCTACTCGCCCACTGCCAACATGGTGACCATTCGTACCCTCATTGCTCTTGCTGTCGACTATGGCTTCATCATCCACCAGATGGATGTCAAGACTGCCTTTCTCAACGCTCCACTCGAGGAGGACATTTACATCACCGTGCCCAAAGGTCTCGAGCAGTACTTCAATGGCTACACTCATGGCAAGCTCAACCGCGCTGTCTATGGGCTCAAGCAAGCTTCACGTGCTTGGTACCAGATGCTCGACCACCAGCTGTGCACGGAGATGAAGTTTACTCGCTGCCTCAAGGACCGATGTGTTTATTTTCTCAACAATGGCCGCGATGCCATTTGGATCGCCGTCTATGTCGATGACCTCCTGATGTTTGCCAGTAGCAGCCTCATCCTCGATCAGACCAAGGCTCTCCTGCAGCAAAAGTTTACCATGACCGACCTTGGTGAGATTGAGACTTTTTTTTTTTTTTTTTTTTTTTTTTTTTCAACAAAAATAATAAATTAGGTGTTTGAACCTCAGAGCTGAAAGCCAACCTGTGCAACCCCGAGATCAAAATCACGACGGCACGCAGAACAACACAAGTGAACAAGACAATTTCATCGGCTCCTATCATGCCGAGGAGTACAAGCGCGAAGAATCACGCACATAGAAACAAAAATCGTACAGAACGACCAAGTATAACCAGAGATACGGCCATTTTAAACACAAGACACCAAAAAAGGCAGGCATACATCACAAGTACAAGCCATCACAGCACAAACACAAAGAACACCACGGCACGCTCACATCCAACGAGACACAATGTCGGATTGAGAAAACAACCGACCACAGAAGACAAAGACATCATACAAAGGACCTTACAAAAATTCAGCAAAAATTCAGCAAAAATTCAGCAAAAATACAGCAAAAATTAAAGCAAAATTAAAACAAAAATACAAGTCAAGCCATCAAAAGACACAACGAGGAACCACCCTGGGAGCGACAGGTGCACACAGGGATCCCCACAGAGGGATTCCCGAGGCGGTGCCTACCTACGACGAGCGCAGGCAGACACCGCAAAGACGTGTTGGAGCCTGACACTTATTATGTCTGCTACAATGAAGAAAAGTTCAAACGCAAAATACCTCGCGCATTAGGAAACAAAAATTATGACAAACGACCAGGTATGACCGAGGATATGGTCACTTCAAATACAAGACATCCAAACGGCAGTCAAACATCCCAATTACAAGCCATCACAGCATGAACACAAAGAGCACCACGGCACGCTCACATACAACAAGATACAGCGCCCGAAAATTCAACCGATGACAGACGCAAAAATACATCACAAAAACAACTCCTCAAAATACAGCAAAAAGTTTCAAGGAAATACAAGTCAAGCCATCAAAAAGACACAACGAGAACCACCTGGGGAGCGACAAATGCACACAAGAATCCCCACAGAGGGACCCCAGGACGGTGCTCACCTACGACGAGCGCAGGCAGACACCTTCAAAGTGGCGTTGGGTGCATACTTATGCCATCTGACCGCGCTCAACCAAGTCGTGCAGGCCAAAGCCCCGGTGTTGGCCCACGTGAAGATGCATGCTTCCAGTGACCACCGCGGTTGCTTCTTGTTGTGGCAATCATGGTTGGGCATGAGTTGCACTTTTTTTTTTTTTTTTTTCCCTATCCTTGGTTTTGTGCTGCTCTACTCAAACGGTGTACCTAAAATCTTCCTCTTCTTCCTAGTTATTTTTTTACCTGGTCAAATCACCGTGAAAGCTTGCCGACCGCAGCTGGTTCAATTGTCCCCAAGACACCAACAAATTCATCACCTGATCTTACAGACCTGCTGAGTGCGTCTCCGAGTCACCAACGAAGGCTGGGTGTATTCCGCCGTTATCTCAATCCCGACAGCTCGTTGGACAAACCCATCCAGCACCTACAGACGCAAGTTATTGTTGCGACATGCCTGGATGTGGCGTGATCAACGTTTTCGCACATCATGAAATCAAGCGCGGGTGCATTGCCTTTGGTATGTATTCGGCTGGCTGTCTTGGGGTTGTGTATGGGCTAGGGAAATATCAAGCCTGGCCAGATGGAGCCCAAGAGATCAATGTCGAACTGAACAGATTGGTCGAAAACTTCATCTCATGACACGTGCGAGCATTTCCATTCTTCCTGCTGTGACTTGGTGTATGTGCATGTGCATTGTTGTAGGCAATGCCGTTGCAAGGTTGAAATTCTAAGGCAGCCACTACACTGCAATGCATCAAGTGTCGAATGAAGCATCAGGTTTCGATTGGGGTTTATTGAAAATCAACGCCTCCGCATGACCTCCTTCAGACCGTTCTTGGACTTGCCCCGTCTGCGAAGCATTCAAAATCAAAAATAAAAAATCAAAAGCAATCAGTCAAGACGCAAGCATTCACATTCAACTATTGTCTTTTGAACATTTGCACATACCGCTTGTTGAGAATTTTTTGGTCCAGCGCCACATAGGCGTATGGCTGCACGGCTTGGCCTTTGCGGCGGGCATCCGACTGCAAAGCTGACTTCTTGGGCTTGCGGGCTGCCTCTTTTGTTGGCCGGCTGGGGCAATGCAAGCGTGAGTGGATGGACTAACGAAGCAAGAAGGAAAACAACAAGACTCCTAGGGCTCACGACATACCGGTCGCGGTGGATGCCAGTGCCCATAGTAATGCCCTTGCCACCCTTTTTGGCACCTTCATCGTCATCGTCATCCGACATGGCTTCATCACCCGAGTCGTCCTCCTTGAAAACAAATTTGCCGTCCTTCTCCTCGACTAAGCAGACAGGAAAAGTTTTGAGTGAGAGAACTAGAGGCATGGCCATGACACTGGCACCCAAGAAGCCAAAAACAAACACTCACCCTCTTCTTCCTGCTGCCGACCCTTGCGGCTTTGGCGAGCAGAAGTGCCGACGCCCACTGACGTGGACAAGAGATCATATTGATCCTCCTCCATGTCATCCTATATTTAAGGCACAAAAGTAGAACAAGCATAAAGGTCAAAGGATGGAGAGCCAGCAGAATTAGTTGAGTTTGACTCCCAACTCACCTTGGCCGGCGCTGCCGTTGGCATGAAGTCGAGATCATCATCACCATCATCATCCGAGTCGTCTCCATCGCCACGAGCACGCTAAAGGGCGAGAAAGTAGATGAGCATGTAGCAAGAACATGCGGTTCAAGACGCGCGAAAAAAAAAAAAAAAAAAAAAAAAAAAAAAAAAAAAAAAAAAAAAGACCAAGAGCCAAGCACAAATGCCAATAGAAGCTTGATACATTCAAATCATAAGAAGACACGACAGGAGACGGGCTTTGCTTTGCTCACCTTTGGCTTGCTTTTTTGCTTGCGCTGGGCTTGCTTGTGGACGTACTGCAACAGCTTGGTTTGGGATGGCTGAATGCAGCTTGCGACTTGGTCAAATCTATAGTATAAACGGTGGGGATTAGCAAAAGTTCAAAGTCTTTTTTTAAAGAGTCGGGTGCAAGGATCAAAGTGGGCAGAAAGCCGTACCCAAGCTTGCGAATCAATCGCTCAAACAGCACGCGCATCTTCATCTTGAGGTGGTTCATGTCGGCTTCTTTCATAAGCGAAATGCTCTCAAGCAACTGCGGCGCCAGCCTGTATGCGGTCAGATCAAGGCACATTGGCAGTTCGTGAGCATCGACGACAATTAATGATCCAAAAGGAGCGATGGATGCAGGCGTACTGCTGCAGATCTTCAGCATTCAACACTGTCGTTAGCATCTTGGCAAATCCCAGTGCACTCTAGAGATGCAGAACATGATGGCCGAGTGAGCATATGTAGCATGTCACCAAGTGAGAACTGAAGCTGGACCCAGCCCAAACGAGCGCGTACCTTTTGAACTTCTCGCGCTGGTGATTCCAGGAGGCTGAGGCAAGCAATGATGACCTCCCGAGCAAACTCGCTTTCGAGGTCCTTGAAAAACTATTGACAAGCGTGGGTCAGCTGCGGGCACGGTCCACCCTGCATACTGGCATTGGAAGATTTTAATGCTAAAGACTGGGGGACGTACCATGTACACAAGGCGCGAGAGACCCAGGACAGTCGCACTGAGCATATGAGGAGAGCGGCCTGCGAGACCTGCCACTACCATGGTAAAGTAGGTCTGCAGGTTCATCTCAGGGGTGGCTTCATCAATAAAGCGATAACCAATCATGGTAAGGGTGTCATAGGCCGCGTGGCGTGTCTTCTCGTTGACCTGGGGTGTCGCACAAAGCATATGAGCTTGCAGAATCTCGTAATGCTGGGGGCCGGTGGCACACAGCTGCTTCATGCCAAGTTAGTGGAAACGGACCTCCTTGCAAGCCAAAATAATTTCTGGCAAAGCATCTTGAACAGCAGCGCACATGACGGGAAACTAGAAGAAGTTGCATTGTGAGTGTTATGCGATTCGAGACCTTATAAAAATGGCCACTTGTTCGTCTCCGCTTCGTCCCAAAAGTTGACACGCACCGGTGCCTGTTGGAGAGCGGTGCAAAAGCACTTGATGCGGGGAAGCTTTGTTGAAGGTGCGGTGACGGTTTGAGCCTCGCCAAGCAGTTGCTGTTCAAAACAATTGCATCCACGAATGGGCGCATGGACAAGAGCAAGAGCATAAGCATATACAGAGTCTCTTTTGTTTGTTTGGGTGAACAACGGCAGGGCCTTGACCACAGGACAAGGATGGATCCAAATCCTACCAGTACAGTCTGTGCGTCGGTCTCGCGGTCGGCCAAGAGCATGAGGCCACGATATGACTTTTTCTGAAGCACCTCGTCTTGCCCCTAACAAGTGATGCAAATTCAAAGATAGAGGGTGAGATGCTCAAAATCATCTGATCACGTGAGGCCTGAGTCACTCAGAGTTGCTCGAGAGAAGACAGCGAACCCACCAAGAGCATTGGCTTGAGCAAACGATAAAGCAGGTCTTGCTCGGTCCCAGCGATGTGAGGCGCGAAGGTGAGGATCAACTCCATCAGCTTGTGCTGTGAATTTACATGGAGAGGGGCGGGGGAGAAGGGATACGCCGTTCACAGTGAGAAGTAACGCTAGCATCCAACGAACAGGCCCGGGGTCGGAAAAACCAAAAACATAAACACACCGTGCTATCACCATTGGCTTCGGATTGCTCGAGCAATTTCTTGGCGGTACCCTTGAAGAAGGTCGAACGCAGAGCTTCAGGGGCGATGCCCAGCATCAAGCCAGTGGCTTCCAGTACACGCGCAGCGCAAGACTGGGAGGAACTTGACATGTAAGCATTGAACATGATTGGCAAAAAGTTCTTGGCAAACCAATGCTGCTTCGACCAAGGTCGTCTAGATTATGGGCATCAATGCATCAAGGCTGGTGAGGAAGGAAGCAAGTATATTGCGAGCCTGAACGTCGCTAAAAAGAGAAAATGCACTTGCATGTGCAATACAAATACGCACCAGTTGTCTTGATGAGGCGGGACAGCGAGAAAGCGATGAGCTCGCAAACGGGTTCACTCTCCGTCAGGCGCTCGCCCAAAAGCTTGGCCAGCTTGGGGAAGGAAGCAGGCGTGTCCGTTGGTGCATTGCAGATGCTGGGCAGCAGCTCCCAGATCTGACACAGGATAGAGCACCACTCACGGGCATATGAGATACGCAAAGTGACACGGAAGGACGGCCAAAACCAAACAGAGACCGCAGAGGGGGTTTTTTCCTTTCAGAAGGTGTCGTGGCGCTGGTTCAACTGGACAGTGAAATGGTGATACCTGAAGGTAGAGGCCGTTGTATGTCTTGGCAATGACTTGTTCATTGAGTTGGACAGCCTTTTCTTCGATGCGGCGCAAATTTTGAGCCATGGGCAGAAGGATACGGCCAAAGAATTGGAGCTACCAACGGCAACACACGAATTGAAGAGGAAAGATGAGAATCGCGCAAAAAACATATGCGGCAACAGCGACATTGGGCTCAATGGGCAATGGCAGACGAAACACGGGGCCAACCTCGTCATTGGTGATACCCTCTTTGACCAGGGTCAGGAGCCAAACATTGCGGAAAGTGGTTTTAGGTTCCTAGAACACGATATGCATGAAAAATTAAAAAATATTAAAAAAAAAAAAAAATAAAAATAAAAAGTTCCCCTCAACCCATGTCAGACAAAGGTGATCAACGGGAAAACGCAAGATGGGCCGTACCGGAGACAAGAGGTCGTCGAGGGGCAAAAGGGTAAAAAATGCTTGCAGACCAATTGCATCGGCAGCGGTCTTGAGAGCAGCTTCGAACGCACCCTTGGAGCCAATGGCATCTGTTTCATGCATCTGCGGGTGGTTTGAGCAAAGAAGGTCCGTGCTGTGAGCGCACAAGAGCGAGAAAAACACAAGACCATCTGAAGGTTGTGGCGAACCTCAGCCAAAGAGACGATGGTGGTGCCAAAAAGCGCAGCGGCATGGCCCTTCAAGAGTTCAAACACATGGGCCAAAACGGGCAGTGCTTTGTTGTAATGTTGACGAAACTTAAACTTGACAAGGTCCTGCATGGGCTCGCAGAATTGCGCGCGAACTTGGGGTGCATCTTCGCACAGTGGCAGAAAGGCTGTGCTAATGCTCTAAAACCCAGACGCGAGCGCTTCGTGAGCCAACATTCAAGGTGGAAAACATGGATACATGATGCATGGTACTATTCCCAAAATAAATCAATAAAAAAATGAAAAAAATTAATCAATCAATAAATGAAAAGCACTCATACCTTGAGAGCCTGCGCTGCGGCCCGGATAGCACCATCTGTCGAGAGGGCAAAAAAGTTGACGAGGAGCTTGACCAATGTGGCACCGGAGCTAACAGCGAGTTCTGCATTGGTACTGCACAAGTGGGCAAAGACCTATAGTAGGTTGGAAAGGGATCAGGTGGATATCGGACCAGCTCAACTCGACAAGGAGGCTGAGTACCAACCTGAGCTGTGATAGATGCGAGAATGGCCAAAACGTTGTGGTCAATGCGCTTGGGCAGGAGGGAGAGAAGGGACTGCAGAGGGAAAAGGGAACTAATGAGGATCCATGGCAGACTTGAAAGGGCACGGCAAAGGGGCTGGGTTATTTGGCGCACCTGGAATTCCCGGGCCATGAGGGTGCCATCGGCCATGCAAGCTGGGTTGATCAAAACGTCTGCCGTCATGGTTGCCAAACAGGAGAATGGGGTGTGTGAATAAGCGGTGAGACTATGAATATGATCAACGCATGGGACGTTAGGATGCACAAAAAAAGTACATACTCTGATAAGAATCGGCAGCCATCAGAGCAGCGCGACTGCTGCCAAACTCAATCAGCTGCTTCAAACGCTTGCATAAAGCTAGCAAGTTTTACGACGAGCAGAGCACATGTTAGAAAAAATTGACAGATAAGCCGATTGCCACAGGCATTACACCTGGCAGTGCGCCGAGACGACGGGCAATACCTGTAGCCTGAGTGGGCTGGATGTGCTTAGCCAGTTGGGCCAACAGTTGCAAAGCATACAGGTGTTGCTTGGTCTCATTGACACTCTATGAATACGACGGCAATCCGAAAGCACAAGGGTAAGACCAGCGATCCAAGCCTGGAAACGTCACAAACGATCCAGCTCGAGAGAAAAAGCAAGAGACAAAGAGAGAAAATAAAGAGAGCTGTCAAGTTTTAGCAGCGCACCTGTAGACCCTTGAGAAGAAAAGCCACAGCAATCTTCAAAGCGGGGCGCGGAATGCCAGCCTCGGTACAGGCCAAGGCTTCGACGGCGTCCTGTGCGTGCTTGCGCAACTGGTGGAAAGTAGGACGTGAGACAGGTCATGAATTTGACGTTCAGAGCCAAAGCGATTTGCAGCCCGTTGCTACCTTGGCATGTAGGTCGGTGGTGTGCTGAAGGATGAAATTGAAACTTTCAAGGACACCCGGGTGTGACCAAGAGTCAGTTGAGCAGGCCTCGAGCATGGCTTGAACGACAGTCACCATCTGAAAAGGTTGGCAGCGTGAGGTTAAGAGATAAGACTGGTCAAGACGGAGAAGGCTTCACAAGTTCTGGGGGGTCCCACGTGACACACCGATTTGATGCTGGGTTTGTGGTCAGCAGCAAGTAGGATCCGTGTGCAAGCACTCAGAGTGATGCATGCAGGACCAAGTTGGCTATGGCGAACAGCCAATGGGACTCTAATGCAAGGTGGGCGGATGCAAGAGGGAGTGAAAAGAGGGCGAGGGGGACAGGCAAGTCTGTGAGCGTACAGTGAGCGCACAGACGGGTGGGATGATATTGGTACGCACTTTGGGGTGATGAGGGCGGCCAATGCGGTGAGGGGTACGAGGTCATCGGGCGAGGTGGCAGTTTCAGCTGCCTGCTCCATGGCGGTCATCTGTCGAGACCGGGACGCGACGAGTCATTGTGACCATGCATGCGACAACGCGGGAAGGGCAAGGGAAGAACAATTGGGTGTACATGTGGAGGGCTGGGGTTGGGTTATAATCGTCGGTCAAGGTCTCGTGCCTTACCATGCTGGCCCAAAACACGGTTGGGGTGGGTTCGAGATTCTGCTCGCGAATGCTTTCGGCCAAGGCAGCAAAAACGGCACAGGTTTCCTGGCAAAGTCAAAGCAAAATGCAGATTGTGAGTTTTCAAGGTGCCGAGACGATGCATCGACGGGCAAGAGAAGGGCAATGTTGGACCCAGCACGGCGAACATGAGTGGGGGTACCTGGCTGGCAGCGTCACGGGATGTCCAAAGGCGGCGCACGGCGCGAAAGCCATCCGAGGCGTCATCGGCCAATGGAAAAGCTCCCAACAAGCCTGGTGCGTGACAACAGTAAGTGGTGAGCTAGAGGCGAACATTGACAAGGGAACCAACCACGAGTCAAGGCCATGGATGGATGACATTGATGGCACACGGTAGAGCAAAGGAGAGTAAAGGGGAGCAAAGGGCGATCATTGCTGATGGCAGCTGGGATGGCGGCTGGGATGACGTGCGCACCATTCTGTGGGACGTCAG